ATTTTTTAAGTGAAATAATACCTGTCAGCTTGTCTTTGATCAAATGAAAAAAGCTTTGTTTGAAGTCTCAGTGCTTTATCATTATAACTCAAATTAAAAGACTCAAATGAAAATAAATACTTCAGATAATGCTTGTAATGCTAACACTCTCTATATTAGCTTCTTGTTCTTACACTGCTTACTATATTGCTTATCAAAGCACTTTAGAATCAGATTCACTAACGGAATCAAATATCTATTTATACAGAATACCTGTTTGTACACTTCTTTGACACATGATGTATCTATCAATTTAGCTGTCAAAATATCAATAACAAAAGACAGTCAAGCTTTCTATCAAGAAGAAAGAATTCAATTAGTCATTCAGGTATTGAAGATATGGTAAATTTCAAGTGTCTAAGCTGCTGCACATACATACTAGATCTCTCATATCAGCTTAGTTGAGTGACTACACAGCTGTATAATACTAAAAGATTCTCAGCTAAAAAATTGAAAACTTAGTTTTACAGAGGAATCAGTCCTTCTTTAGTGAATAATATTCATAGATGAATAAGGTTAGCCCCTCTGGATGAATATCATATGAGAAATAGTTAATTTTTTTCTTACAAACTGAGATAACTTTATCACTTTATCAGTTGTTGATACAAAATAAATTAATCAATATATTAATCACCACCTTGAGATAAAGATTTGATTCTCTTAATATTATAATCATCAATAAGCCCTATATGAATATCTTAAAATTATTCAAAAATAGTTTGAGCTTATACAAAATATTATTCAAAAGTATAAAATTATACAAGAAAATATATACAATTTTGATGAGATTGAGTTTCAGATAAGAATTATTAAAACAGTCAAGATAATTACTGAATCAGAGAAGACTTTCTGTCTGAAGCTTGTACAGTCTAAAAATACTGAATGAGTTATCATTGATGAAAAAGTTAATACAACTGGCTAAGCATTATCATCAATGATTATTTTTAAGAAAAAGCTATATCAAGTCTTCTGATATGAGAATGAATTACTGTATAACTGGCAGATTGAAATCAGTGAAAATGAATAGACAACTGACAAGCTAAGATTGATCTGACTTAAAGAGGTATTCAATAAATATATATAATCCTATACAATTGACTAATATTGACTTTTAATCTTAGATATATATAGCAGTTATAATAATTCTGAGTTTGATCAGTTTTGCACTCAGAACTCAATTATTTTTCTTTTTATGTTAGCTCATTCTTCCCATCTCTTGCAGTTTTTGAATATTGCTTGTTTTTCCTCATTAAAGCAAGTATATAGAAAAGAAGTTGTGAAAAAAATAGAACTTAATATCAATCATATTGATAAAAATGAGTTTTTAATTATTTATCCTTGAGTTTATATAACAGCTCTAAGTGAAAAGAATTGTTAGAGAGCGGATGTGAGCTGTCTAAGATAGAATCTCTCTGCGTTGCTAACTGCTATATAATGAAATACTAAGGTTGGTGAGGAAAAGAGGTGTCAGAGTCTGCTCAGATTATAAACAGTCTGCATGGTCACATGACATATTGTAAACAATTCACATGATCATGTGACCAGATCATCCTGGTCCACTGGGTTACATGTGGGGTGCCATCACATGGTCACATGATGGAGATAAACCTAGTCCCCTCCTGGCACTGAGCCTAATATCACCCCTCAATCTAGAAATAGGCATGCCCTCATGCTGATAGATTGTCATCATCTTCATCTTTCAGATAGCTGCCTGTCTCTCATGCTTTTACTCATTCATTTACATGTTTCAGTGGTCTGGCTTTTGTAGAATTGACCTTATGAAAATCTCATATTACATGTGATGATTTCTTGAAGTTGTAAGTAGAATACTATGAAGAATCTTCATCAAATCTCTTTCAGTACATCTGATACTGCAGCTTGCTTCAGCTTATTTGACTGGCCAGTATACAATTTATTTCTCATTCATTCTCATCATTTATTTCAATTGAGTCCAGTGGTCTAGCAGTTTAGTCAGATAGAAAATCTCTGAAGTTTTTACATAGCTTGTTTAGAGATAAAATTGAATGAATCTTTATTGTTGCAGAGAGATTCAGTTTGTAGACATTATCAATCTTTTTCAGAATTCTGAAGGAACTGACATTCTGCTTTGCTAGTTTACAGCTTGATCAGTTCATTCTGTATGACTTCAATGTCAGATAGACATAATCTTTCACTGCAAAGTCAGACTTTTGATGATACTTGTCAGTCTGTCTCTTCATCTGTTTCTATGCTGTTCTTATACTTTTGCTTGTCTGATTTCAGATCTCTCTCATTCAGTGAATGAAGCTTCTTGCTGTCTCTTGATTTCTTCTCTCATTTATATTCAATTTCTTTATCAGTGATTATCAGTCAAATAATATTCATGATTTATATTTATTTGCTGTGAGAAAGAAGAAAATCCTTGTGAAAGCATTTGAGATAGCTGCAGAGATATGATCTATAATGAGCAGTCATTCATTTCAGTCATCTTGATAGTAATTGACATAGAGATGAAGATAAGTGATAATATATTAATTTATCACTTCTGTCTATTCATCAGTTTGTATATAATGTGCTGTTGAGAGTTTCAGTTTAATGCTCAGAATCTGTGTGAATTTATTTCAAAAGCTTGATATGAACTAAGGGTCTTAGTCAGAGACAATTGAGTCAGGTGCCTTATTATATGAGTAGTAGAATCAAATGAATAGACAGACTAGCTCTTGAACTATAACTTCTCAGATAATTGAAATGGAGATTGTCTTCTTGCTTAGCCAGCATACTATAATCAAGATGACATCATAACCTGTTTTACTCTTTGGCACATTTATGAAGTTTATTGTAATATGCTGCCATGCCTGTTCTGATATCAGTAGTAACTTTAGTAAATCAGAAGTCTTATCTATTGAAATTTTATTGATCTGGTATATATGACAGTTTTTAATATAGTATAGAACATCTGTCTATTAGATGACTCATCAATAGTATGATTGCATCAGAGTCAGAGTTGTTTGTCCTTCAGGATGTGCTGTTGAAGCTTGATTATAAATTTTCTGCAGTAGCTCAACTATTAGAGTTTTCTTTTCTCAAATAGACACTACTAGTCTTTTATTATATCATAGCACATTGTCTTTCATTGTATAGAGACTATTTTTATCATTGATCTGCTGTCACAGAGACTCAATTGAGATGACTATTTTGTTTAAAGACACTATGTGTTCAGCAATATTCTTTTCCTCTGAGGAGTTGATGCTAGCAATATATATAGAAGAAGTGATCTGAGAGTCAAGGATTTCTGATTCTAGAAGAATCTGCATATAGTCATTCTGTTACCTTCTAATCTGCTCAGGTCTGCTCAGTATGTCTGTTAGCAAATTGACTTTATCTGATTGATACTTGATCTCAAAGTAGAAATAAAAAAGGAACTTTGCCCAGCAGACTTGACATGCATTTAGCTTCTTGATAGTCATGAAGTATTTCAGTGCATAATGATTAGTAAGAATTTTGAATTGTTTCTCCTGCTGTAGTCTCTCAAGTTCTGCTCATCATTCTTGTAAAACTCAGATCACTGTCAGCATTTTCTTATTATGAATCTCATAATTAAGCTCTGCATTATTCATTAACTTTGAATAGAAGACTACTGAATGCCAAAGATTATTTTCAAATCTTTGACTTAGTATTTCAGTCATCACTTCATCAGAGATATTAGTCTTGATATGAATCTCTCACTCAAAGTCATAGTAGTGTAGTATTAGAGTCTTCATCAGCTGTTTCTTTAGTTTTTCAATAACTGACTTGCATTCTGATGTTTACTCAAATGAGATAGTCTTTTTTGTCAACTGATATAGTGATTTTGTAATTCATCTGTAGTTTCTTATGGATTATTAGTAGAAATTATCAAATTCTAGAAATGACTAAACTTCTTTAAATATGATGAAGATCTGTCATTTCACAATAACAGCTGTCTTCTCTGAGTCTGCATTAATTTCTTCTATACTAATGATGAATTTTAGATATTTTATCCTCTGCACTGTGAATTCACATTTCTGAATGCTGACTTGCAAACCTACTGTCTTTAGTCAATCTAGCACTGAGTTTACCTGCTGCTTGTGCTTCTTTAGATTCTTGCTATAGATTAGAAGATCATCTATAAATGCTGTCATAAACTTGTCTAGATAGTCAAAGAAGATACTGTTAACAAATCATTGAAAGCAGACAGGGGCATTTATAAAATCAAAGAGGACTACTTAATATTTATAGATTCTGTAGTGAGTTTTAAAGATGATCAAATTCTCAGACTCAGAATTTATCTGAATGCAATGAAACGCCTGTTGAATGTTCAGCTTTGTAAAGTATTTTGCCTCATTAAATCAGTCCATCAGCTTATATATTAGAGGCAGGAGATACTAATCTTATTTGATTATAGCATTCAGCTTGTGAAAGTCAATACAGAATTGTAGCTTCTTCCCACAATGAATGATCAGAATTGAGAAGGCATAGAAGACTGAACTTGAGATGATGAAGCTCTTTATTAGATTGACTTCAAAGTAAATCTTCACTGCCTCTAGCTTTTTCAGATTCATCTTATATAGAGGCACATGTTCAATGCTCTGAATGAGATCAACATCAGGCTGGAGCTCTATTTTAAAATTAATATTCTTTTGTAGAGGGGGTAATTTATCTGATGCTTTCTTTGAGAAACAGTCCTCTCAGCCTTTTAATCATTCTGATAAGTTGCTAATCAGCTTCTCTTCCAGAAAAACAGCGGAGAAGAATTTTCGACGTGAAAATCAAATAATGTTAAAGCATATGTACGTACCATTGCCCAACGAGTATTTACTCAAGCCGTTGGCGTGGGAACGATCTCCCCGGGAAAATACGAATAACCAACGAGTTTTGTCAGGTATGGAGTGTTCGTTTTCATAGCCACCTTGGAACAACTTGTTAGAACACATAACATGATTAGAATGGGTGCCGTTTCGTTGTCACATATTATCTCTCCGCCCCCATCCCAGGAAAGTGGTCACTGTACAAAATAGAGATAATTAGCTCCTCATTACTTACAGTCCGATACTGATAAATCCCCTGTAAACCAATACAAGGTCACAGAACGCAAAATCTCGTCCATAGACAGCGGCACATTGGTCCATGACAGGAGCTTTTCCCTTATCCACCCCAATAATGCGAGCGGGCTGGAACCCAGCACGATTCCAATTGTTCTAGGTCTTGTACCGTCCTCCATCGAATATGCTGCTCCTCTTTCCAGGAATTCCGCGCCCCGCTGAAGACCTGCTTGCTCCTTATCAGAAAGCGGGGGTTCAGAGGGGATTCCTTCGGGGGCTGTAGTAAGGGTAGGAGCTATGTAGAAATTTACGTGGATTGCTGGTATGTATATGGGTAAGTGGTTGGGGGTTTGATGGAGACCATTCTGTCGATTTATGCATATTTTTCAGGAGGAAGGTTTCAATAGGGCAGCTATGGTCTATACTTTTACACGCCTCATGCTCCGTGCTCAAACCTCTCGCCACAAAGCTCCCAAGATCACCTCCCTGGGCCAGATAGCCTGACGGCCCAAATCCAAGATCCAGCATGAGTTGGTTCATGATGTCGGAAACATCAGTGCAATTGAAACCGTGTGTTAATGGTGGGTGGGAGGAGAAGGCATAGCCTGGCAACGAGGGGACGATTAGATGATAGGGGGGGGTTTGGGGTGTATATTTCTCCCTTCATTAGAGTGAGGAGGGGGAGAAGTTCGAGGAAGCTCCCTATTTTTTCATTTTGATGATGATATTTTGCTAGCGGAATGAGGTGGTTTTATTTACCTGGCCAGCCATGGAATAGAGTGATCGGAACAGCATCGGGTTTGTGAGAGAATAGAGCGACGAAATGCACTTTGGATATCTCTTTCTCGACAGGCAGATGGACTGTTGCGATAAAGTTGGGGAAGAAGTTGATATAATCTTCGCTCTTCCGCCTGTACATATCAATAGATTTGTATATGGGCTATAGTGCTATTCTAAGTTCAAAATCAAAATTCCCGAGTCCATGCTGGGCTCTCAAATCTTACGCATCGTGCTAAAATCCCATTTCTCAACCCTCAAGTGGAATATTAATGTAAAAAGTAACAAATTTCTACCGCAGATAGTGCAAATTAATGCCTTTCCGATATGCAAAAACCCCTGAAAAAGAAAACATAAACCTATCAATCGAACTCCTCCCAAAACCTCTTCGCCTCCATCATCCATTTATGGCTAATTCCAAATCTTCCATCTTCCTGCGTACTCTCGTATGTTCGCATGGGGATCTTCGACAATCTCAGCTGCGTCTTGAACTCTCCAAGCTGTTGCTCTGGAATTTCAATGCGGAATGGTTCCGGGATCTTGACTGCATTGGACGGGACGGTGCTGTAGTCTGCTGCCATTTTTACTTTCTTTCGTTCTATGATTGGGATTTGTTTCTAGAATCTCTTTGCTAATGGGCCAATTGTAATTACAATAGGGATGGGATGTGGGTGTTATATAGTTGAATGTCCTGGAATGGTTATGATACTGGGTCGGGATGAGAGAGGGGTTAGTGGTGGTGAAGATTATATTTATGACATTGGTAGGGATAAGTATCAGCCGGAGGAACAGAAGCTGAAGACAAAAATTAACTACCTAGGTACCTAGGTAAGAGAAGATCCAGTCGGGCTGGAAATTTTTGTAGGATTCTGGATATTATTGGGATGTTCCATCATGGGAAATGCTCCATGTGGGCTTGTGGCGTGTGTTTTGCTGAGAGAAATCTGAAGGGAAATTAGTGTTATTAGATTAGAACGGAACTGGTGCATTTGATATGGGGCAAGAAATATCTGGGCGATATCCTATACCTAAACTTGGCTACCCGGGCGCTTTGGCTAAGAGAAGGTGTGTAATATGATATATTCCCAGGTAGGTATATGAAGAGCACCTAGACCAAGAGGTAAATATCAAACAGAATATTAACAAGTTACCATTATGAAACACCTTTGCACTCACATGAGTAACTGCAGAGATAACTAATGAATTTAATATAGGAATCAAAATGCGCATGCCACATAGCATCACTATCCATCCACATGTGCGTTAGCATTATTATTATTATTAACCGGCTGAGCGCCCAGCACCCACCCAAGCCCACTCGCCAAACCCCCTGTCACTATATTACTAACCATATCCCTTTTTCTAACTCGTCCCGCCGTTGACCCCTCACCACCACTCCCATCCTCCGTCTCAGCAGTATCCATACTGATGCGTCGTGACTCGCTCGAATCACCACCCCCAGCGCTGGCCCCAACACCCTCACCACCACGAAGAGGAAATGCGGTCTTGCTGATTGCCTGAGCCGCGCTTCGTGCTACCTCAAATAACCCCATGGGCGCCTCTTCATATCCTCCTGCCAATCGGGAGGTGCGTTTGGTATTCCCTGTCCGCGACCGTTTAGCTCGTTCTGTTTCCAGAGCATCGAGTTCAGCATCGGATGGACCGAAGCCACCTGGTACGATCGAGCTAGAGATGTTATCGCCACGTGTGTCCCAGTTTTCGGCTTCTGTGGATTCTCTGGCGCGTAGGGAAGTCATTTCTTCATCGCAGCGGCGCCATACGGCGAGGACTTCGGGGAGGTTCTCAGGAGTAGGAGCAAGGGCTAGTGCTAGCGAAAGGAGCTCCATGCGTTGGGAGAGACGGTGAATTTGGGATCGGAGTGGTTTATTTAGTGATTCAGCAATGTTTGGGCGGTATCTACCTGCATTGAATGCGGCACGCCACAATACATCGTCTTTGATTTTCGTAGAGCCTGAATTGACAGATGGCGGGGCTACGTGAGTGTGAACGTATGAATATGCCGTGTCGAAATCATTGGATTCTAAGGCTGCGGTGATGGAGAGTGATATTATTCGATGATCTGAGGCTAGATACTCTTCTTCCTGAGACGGCGATGGTCTGTTATGGATGGGGTCATCATTGGGTCTTGGTTGAGCGGGGAAGCCCGCGGTAACCAGGTGTCGACCAATTGTAAGCAGATTGTCAAGTTCTGTGTATGCCTTGGGATTTTGTTCGAGAACTTTGCCGATCAAGGAAAGGGGATCATGGTGCACACGGATGCTGACAGGCTGGAATGGGACGCCGTGTTGCAATGTGAGAGAGTAAAACGACAACGAGTGAGTAGCGGCTATCAACGCTTTGATTTGGCGGAATGATTTAGAATTCGGGAAGCCTGGACCAAACGCCTCAAGCCTACATATCAATCAGTTAATTATATTCTGGTCAAATATGCTTCACAGGAAGCAGACGTACATTTCCAAAGCTCGTTTTATCCCGCCCCTGGTTTTGTTTCCATTTGTGGCATTGTCATATGATGAAAATATTGACTCGGTTACTGCAGCCTCAATCTGCTCTGGCGGAAGAGGAGATAAGCTGAGTGATTTTGCATAGAGCTCAACGGCCAAGTCATATTCTGAGATTCGTTAGGACTGGTAACATCTGTGGCGATTACGAACACTTACGTCTTGCATTTAACATGGCTTTCAGAATATCTCCTTCAAGGAGAACTAGAGGAATTCGCCAGAATAACCCATGGCCAGCGCGTGATTTTGCATTGTTTTCCCTAGATTGATCAGAAAGCCCCCAATTTCTCAACCAAAGCAGTTGCAGTCTGATTTTCCGCCAGTCCAGTCCAGTCTTATGGTCCTGATGCAGGGTTTCAAGAACTCTGCGGAATTCTGATAACTGCATTTCATCACTTGCAAGCAAAGAGATATCGGCAGCGGTCCTGCATGAAATCCCGTGACCGAAACCAATTAAAGTGCGAATAGACACGAGAATGGCGTCAATAAAAGAGATTGATTGAGAAGTGGGAAATGTGAGAGGATTAAACGGGTCTAGAAGAGCATTTTGGAGGATGGCGCCTCGCGAGATATCAGAGAGTGATGTGAGGTCGAGGTTGAGAGGGTAGAGTTCCTTTTCATAGTTGTGTAGTTCAGAATGACCAGGTATCTCAAGCAGAGACGCAATTCTACACAATATACGGCAGGATCCATCGAGGGTTTCTAACGTTGTTTCCGTAGTAGCATAAATCGCAGCAAGAGCAGCTTGTCCGTAGTTCAAAGAAAGCTCAGTTTCTTCATCAGATAGAACGGACTCTCCATGATCACTATATCCACCCAAATCCATATCCTGTGGACCCGACCATTGCTCAACAGCTTCAACAGCTAAGGGAAAATCCCGTATACTTGTCGAAAGTAGCCACTCGTTGACATCTTGCCATCCACTAGTCCTGGACCCTCTTGAAGAATTCTGATTATCAAATATCCCAATCGACCCTGAATGCTCGAGATGGTTGGGTCTCCGCCTTTTCGACCTGGCATGCCCGTACATCCAGGACCCAACCAATCCTCTCAAGTCTCTTCCCACATCTCCTCCTCTATCACATCTATCGGTTTTCGACAACAAAATATTGACGGCGCTTTCCGAATCTAGGGACTGTATTATTTCCAATGACAACGAGACATCATTTTCACAATGGTATTCGTAATTGAATCGGACGAGAGGTAGTACAGTCGATATCACCCATGTTTGAAGGTACGTCGATATAGGGATGAACGGTTCAAGAAGTTCAATAATAAACGGCTGTAATCCGGACTCAGAGTCTATTCTGTGAGCTCGATGGAGAAGAAATTGAACTAGCGAGCTGCACGACTCATCTGTGGAATGCCTGGGGTGTTGAAGGGGTAGGAGATGTAGCTGTTGGACCTGCTTCCTCGCTGCAGTTTTAGACAACTCCCGAACTGAAGCGGTGTCAATATCATCATCTGTTTCAGCTGGTTTGGATGAAGATCCATTGGTCAGGCTCTGAATAACAGGGATATACCGGCATGGCTCTGTGCTTTCAGGTAGGAAGGTTAATATGATACGGAAGAATATGTCTTCTCTGGGAGAGGCATGGAAGTAGGATTGTAAACGTGGCAATGCTGACACATCGCCGTTAATGCAGAGCTCGACGGCAAGGAGGATAAGATGGGCATCGGATAATTCTGAGAGAGCCATTATGGTCGTTCTCTTCTTCTCATGGTTGACGTGAGCATTTCAAGGTGTTTTTTAGTGTTGCGCACATATATTACAACTAAAGCGTTGGTGTCGATGTTGGACATGCTCCAACCACTCAACGCAACGTTACCACAAAAATGCATGAAGTTGGATGTTGGTTAATGCCCGTATTAAGCGTGGGGGGAAGCTTGGACCAATCAGGACTCGTGGTTGCAACAGTGACCAACTCGTCCAAGAAAGAGCCTCAACTCCAGGTCTCCATTAATCTCAATCTCCAGCAACCAATCGGCCACCCTCTCTGCGATTGAAAGTTTGATTGACACTTCACAATGGCATCAGGCTATGGCCTTAATGGCGGTATGTATTCTGTCCTCGTCGTTCAATTTCAGCTTTAACTCCCCTCAATTCTAATAAACAAATCCAGCTTTCTTCTCAGTTTTGTAGCCGACCTTATTAACTGACGTCTCCCATCCCTTTTCATAGGCCCGTCGCGCTGCTTTCCCTTCTGGCAAGAACTCCTAGGTTGCTACGTGGTTAACGCGGGGGATGGTGAAGCCGGAAAGAAGAAATGTGTCCCAGCATTGGAAGATTACTACGAGTGTTTGCATCATAGAAAGGAGGTACGGGTATCTCGCAGCTACTCCTACTGGGGTTATATAGCCTTGTGTATACCACGTGTTTAACCTACACATGGGGAGTTGGGACATTTTGGCACAACAGAACTGATCCTTGGGAAACACCGTTCTAGGTTGCGCGAATGCGGGCGATGCAACAGGCATACCGAAAGGCGGAAGCGTCACATCCTAGAGAGAATGCGCCAAAGGCGGAACAAATCAGTTCGTTAGGATTACTGGGCAAGGACGAAGAATCCAAGGCGACACTGGCGGCGACCCGATGATCCTTATTTTGTGGAGAGAACACAAAGTCATGACATGGATGGGGTGACGTTTTTGTCACTGGTCTTACACACGCTGCCTTGGTTCCCAGTTGCGGCTTTGCTTTCCTTATTTGTTCACCTCCCGGGATTTATATTAAACGTATATATGGAAGATTGTACAGAAATTCAGAAGTTCAGAAATTAAGAATATTATCTTTATTATCAACCTAAAGGAATTTTTTATACAGGAGCTTCACCCGCCTATTTCAGTTGCAGCTTAGTGGGTGGTTTGATAATTTTCAGTGATCTTTTGCTGCCGCTTCTTTTTGATATCGCCGATTATTTCTCTGCGTGGTATTTTCATGGGCGCATTTGGCGGCTTGTCGCACCTCCTCTTGAGTTACAGACACGGGATCTATGGACATCCGTGTCGAGGTGTCATTCCATCGCATGAAGATTGGTCCTCGCTGTGTATTTGTTGCGAAAAAACGGTCTATTTCTTTGCTAACCTGGATGGGAAGCTATAATTATTTTATAATTTGTGTCTTGCCATGGGAGAATCATCCCATCTGTCCATCTTTTTTTCTAGAAATTTTTGGATAAATGCTGGAGGAATAAGTATTTCTCGTGAAGAATTCCTTTGTCTGCGAAAACAAAGGACCGCTACAAATATCATCGACTAACAGCATCGATTATAAAATAGTCGAAAACGGGCAAGAGGTTTTCGGTTCTACAGGAACCGAAAATATGAACGAGGTTAACTTAATCCCTTCTTCCCATTCCGATAATTAAATATCGAATCTTTTCACGAGTCAATGGATGGGGAGATTCTTATCTCAGGCCTGGAAGAAGAAGACATGAGATTGAAGATATTGACAAGATCTTGTCGATGAGGTTAGTGTCTAGTGTTCACTACTCTGTTACACAAAGTTCCTCGCTGGCGCAAGATGTGCGACACTAGGAGCATCCATTAATGTTAATTTGCTAAAAACATGGCGTACCAATTCAGCCAAGGCGGGCTACCGTGCCTGGGTTTGAACCCTCCAGGGCTGTAAAAGAGGACAGATATGGAGCAGCAAAGTGGTGGTTGCGGAGAGAATCATATGGATACAGTAAACGATCATGGGAAATCTGCAACATAAGAGCTAGAAGTGTTAGTTACCGGTGTGAGTTGTAAGAAAACAAATTTCTCTCTTCAATAGTGAGAGGGTAACTATATCTGAACTTCCATGTGCCCCGAGTAACCAACCTTTATTAGTGTTGCAGACAGATATCATCTGATTGTGGAGGCCCAACATCGCGATAAAACAAGCAAAGAGCTTCACGAGGAAGAAGAAGCAAAATTCAGATAGGGGGCTTGTCCAAAGTACCTCAATCTTCTCCCTACTGGCGGATGATGATGATAACTGACCGAGTTAGTTCAGTGTGCTTCGTACTCGGGGGCCTACACGGGCAGACCCGTGATCGTAGAAGGGATTAGGGGAAACATCACGTGCCAGTCAGAGCGTCTGTCTGGGACTGTACTGCGCTAGTCCCAAATAAGCAAATTTAGCGAGGTGCAAAACATGGGTAGTCGCGCTGGACAGAGGGCTGTCCCAATGATATAAACAGCCTGCGCGACCTTCGACAAATTTTCTTGATCCAGCACCAGGCCCTACGCAATACAGTCACTCCGCCGTTGCATCGTCATTTTTTCTTACTAAAACAACTCCTTATTTTTGGCAGCTCCCACCCTTTCTTCGATGCATGATCTTCTTTTATTTCGTTTTATTTTATTTCCCCAACAATAGAAGCAAATGTTGCGGACCTCATAGAGACATCGCTATATTAATCATAGTATTAATTCTAACGTGTTATGATGGGTATTTTGATGGGTTGGCCCCAACTGCTCCTTCTGCTACAGCTACAACTGCAACTACTCAGCTTGCGTTGGACTTTTATTAATTTGTCCACTGCTTACTAACCTGCACCGCGCGGGACTAACTTATTATTGCATTTCCTTTGCCTTCGCCTGGTTCTTGTCCTGTGACCTGCCATGGCGTCCAGGTGTGTTTCCGCCAATCGCATCGCTTCTTTTCCCCTCATTCCCCGCTTCTACTAATCTGTTTGAGTTTAGGCTTGATCGACTAGTCACGTGAGTATATCTATATTTCCATTCTACGCTATTCCCATTGTAGACTAGATCATATTAATTTGGAAACTAACCAACCACCGACAACAGCCTCCTTGAAACAGGAAGTACTCCAATTATCAGAAACACTGCCGCTCAACAGCTCGCAGATGTTCAGAAACAACATCCAGATGAATTATTCAATCTTTTAGGTCGCATTCTACCGTATCTGCAGTCCCGGTCATGGGATACCAGGACTGCAGCTGCCAAGGCAATAGGCGGCGTTGTTGGGTACGCTGAGCAGTTCGACCCCAACGTTGATGACCCCTCAAAGTCCACAGAGGATGATGATGTTTCTCCAACTATCAAGAAAGAAGAGAATCGCGAAGTAGCAGAGAATGCTGCTTCCGAAGACCTTCTCGACTTAGAGTCATTTGATCTTAACTCAATTCTGAAGTTTGGACACAAGCTCCTGGGCAGCGCCGGAAAAGAATATGAATATTCTCTGGCCGGATTGGATGCGACCTCGAGGCTTCAGCATCAGAAAAAGACATTAGCCTCCCGTCTGGGTCTTGGGGGGGAGTATATTGAGGATGACTTGGTGAACGAGGCTGATTTCGTTACCAACTCACAGAGCAAGAGTTCTGGTCCTAAACTCCAGATCCCTCTGCCATCTCTTTCTCGCAAAAATAGTTCAACTAGTAATTCGCCTCACCCAGTGGCTTCCCCTCATGACCCTTCGCCAGCTACTCATTCCAATGGTGACGATCAAGGTCTCAGCAAACGCCAACTGAACCAGTTGAAGCGAAAGAATAAGCAAAATGCAAAATTGGGAACTAATAAGATTCGAGTGGTTGATCTGGCCGTCCGGAAGAATTCTGATACGCTGCCAAGACCCACTGCTTCCACTCCACAAGCAATTAAAAACGAGGAAAGTGGCAATGAAAGCAATGGTGATAAAAAACTCGACTATTTTTCGCTGGAGAGAACCGAGCCAGAAGATGATAGTAAAATCGTATCAGAATTCAAAGGACCTGTGATCCCTGAAAAGCCAGCCATTCAGACTGATGCTGAAGAAGCTGGTTTGGAATGGCCTTATGAACGCATGTGTGAATTTCTGATTGTTGATCTCTTTGATCCTAGCTGGGAGATCCGCCATGGCGCTGCTATGGGTCTTCGGGAAGTCATTCGCGTTCAGGGAGCTGGAGCTGGCAGGGTACGTGGTAAATCGAAACGCCAAAACGATATGCTTAATCACCGGTGGTTGAACGACCTGGCTTGTCGGCTACTTTGTGTCTTTTTACTAGATCGTTTTGGAGACTACATTTCGGATAATGTAGTTGCTCCTATTCGTGAAACTGTCGGCCAGACCTTGGCTGCTCTTTTATTACATTTACCCCCGGAGTCTTTAGCTTCTGTGTATCGCATCTTGTATAGAATGATCATGCAAAATGATATTGGCCTCGCCAGTCCTATTTGGGAAGTATGCCATGGTGGTATGATCGGACTTAAGTACCTGGTTGCTGTCCGGAATGATGTTCTTTTAAAAGAACCGGAAATTCTCGATGGGGTCATTGCCGCGGTAATGAAGGGACTGGGAGATTACGATGACGATGTCCGTGCGGTTAGTGCAGCTACACTAGTACCGATCGCAGAGGATTTTGTGAACCTTCGACCTGGCTCACTAAACTCACTAATCAACATCGTGTGGGAGTGTCTATCTAATCTCCAAGATGATCTCAGTGCCAGTACGGGATCTGTAATGGATCTGCTTGCGAAACTCTGCACATTCCCGCAAGTCCTTGAAGCGATGAAAACCAACGCAGCGCACGATTCCGAATCTTCATTTGGAAACCTTGTCCCGAGACTCTTCCCATTCCTACGACATACTATCACAAGCGTACGATCTGCTGTACTTCGAGCTTTACTAACGTTTTTGAAACTTGAAAGCGAGGGGCAAAACGCATGGGCTGACGGAAAAGCAATGAGGCTAATTTTCCAAAACCTCCTGGT